GGTCACATAGGCCAGGGCTGTGAGGGGTTTGGTCAGGGGTATCTTGAGGATAGAAGGTGACTTCCTTAGCGTCGTAGCCTCCAAACACTGCTTCCCTCACATTCGGGTACTTCAGGGCCTTGTTCACCTGCTCCCCTCGAACCTGGTATGCTACACCCAAGTGCAGCCTTCATGATCTTCAAAGAGGGTCACCACTCAGCCGGGCATCTTGTCACTGCCTCTAAGGAAGGTATCTTCCTGCCAGAACTGACAGCTGTAGCCACTTACAAAGCCCACACAGCTGTCGCTGTGAGCAAAATCCGGCTTCCACACTAGGAAACCGCACCCAAAAATCCACAGGGTTTGGGGGTCACCATCCTCCCAGGAGGGCTGTGTGGATAGTAAGCAGCACCCCTCTCCATTTGCTCCTGCTTCCAGGTTCCTGCCCTGCTTGAGCTCCTGCCTTGATTTCCCTGAGTGTGACACAAAGGTGGAATAAACCCCAAGTTGTTTATGGTCATGGTGTTTTATCACAGTAATCAAAACCCTAACTAAAAGGGCCACACACAGAAGACTACATTCACATGACACATCTAGAATAGCTAAGTCTATGAGGACAAAGATGAGCGCTGCCGGGGGGATGATGAGCGGAAAGCGGCTGTTGAGGGTTGCCATTTCTTCATGGAGTGCTCAGAGCATTCTGGACTTAGACAGTAGTGACTGGTGTAGAACTCTGTGAACACAATAAACACCACTCTTATGAACCTTGCAGTATATGAATTAAACATGAATAAAACTATTATTTTAAGAAACATGGCATAGAGGAATAGTGTAGTGCCCCCTGCTCAGGGGTCTACTTGAATCTGCCCGCAACAGGATAATCTGCCGTCTTAAGAACATACACACAATCTGTTCAAATGAGGAAAGGATTGGTTTTCCTACCAATAAATCCCCATCGTGACCAACCATAAAATGAAATGCAAAGTAAACAGAACCAAGAACAAAAGAACATACAATCAGCCAGTTTCAATAGGATAAAACAAACTCAAGACTGCAAGAAGAAAAGTGTTCTCAACACACAGCCTGCTGGTCACAGAAACTTCAACAAGTCCAAGTCCTTTTGCCTCACGAGGAGAAAATCTGTCAGCCTCTTAACTGGCACAGAATGAAGGAAATAAGCATTCTCTCTTCTGACTACATCAGTGTCCTGTTTGTACTTAGCTGACAAGAGCCTTTCACCTCTGAGAGTTGCTAAATTGGACAAGACTATGTGTATTGAACATAGTCAGACATCCTGGCCAGTCAAGAGACTTCATCAGGCATGGCTAAGGATGTAGGAAATCAAGAGAAGACAGCAATGGAGGATGACATAGCTTGACTGTCATTTTGTTCAAACCTGCATATCCTACAACACCAGAGACACTCTAACCATTCCTAACACAATACCTACATCTTCTATGGACATCCACAGACATAAAGAGAGACAGATCTGGGAACCAGAGGGAAGATTTGAGCCAAACATTTTAAAACCTACTAGCTACATGCCCAAGGACAAATTTCACAGTCTCATTGTGCCCTTCTATCAGATACTGAGCAAACAAAATGAGGTCAGGAAAACAGGGCACAGTACTCAAGAGTGCACCCCCAGGAAACTTCCTCCTGCTCACAGCTCCATGTGGCACCTAAGGCGGGATTCACCCTCAGTCCCAGTCACTGAAACAGCCAAGCTCCTTTCAGGATCCAGCTTCATGGAGCAATCACCAAGAGACCCCATGCAGACTTCGTACTAAGTAATCCTCTTTCATCCAGCCTCCGCCACAGAACTGAAGACAAGAAGCCATCAATAAAGTCTCTCATCAAATGTATTAAATCAGGGCGTGACACAAAGCCTTCATTCACCTAGCAGGTATTTAAAAGCACTGAACCAAGACACTTGAAGTGCATATTGTGCAGAACAGTAATTGGTAACCTTTCCATAAGACTGATGCAATCTGATTATAATTCCCAAGTGTCAGCAGTCAGTTCTGAAGGTAAAAGGAAAAGGAAGTGGGATGGATTCAAGTACTCAGGGAGAGGTGTGGGAGGGTACGCTTTCCCTTGACAGCAATTCTCATTTGACTGAAGGCAGCTAGAACAAGCTCAAACTGAAAAATTCTGTCACATTAGAATCGATTGAAATGCAATCAAGATGAAATTTACTGGGTTTAATATACACACATAACTTTCATCTTCCCCTCTCTGAAGACAGAGAAGGAAGAAGCGCTTGTGTGGAGCTGTGTCTATGCTAAAGGGGAAAGGCCAGTTTGTACCATAGTTTCATGTTAGCTCTGCAGTGGCTGCCCTCCTCTGTCTAGCTCCAGATAGGTTTCCTTGATGCCACACATAAGGCATGGCTTCTTTTCAGGGAGGATGGGACACAGAGCTAAGGGATGTGGAGCTTAGGAAATAACTTAGGGTCCCAGTCTACTGTTTTCCTCTCCTCTCCCCTTACCCCAGCTAAAACTCTACCTTCAGCCTAGAAGTATAAGGAGAGAAACTAATCAGACTGACTCTGGAGACCTCCTGCTCCCACCATGCGGCAGCAATTAAGACTCCTTCCCCCGGCACAGTTCAGTCTCATCCCCTCACTACAAAGCAGTTTCACCTAGAAAGCTGACAGCCACACACCCTGAATGCTCACACTCAGCCTCTCATCTCTGCCCAACTTATATCCACTGAGTCTGCCCGTTTAAACATGAAACTCTGCCTACAATGGGAGGAAGCCGCTGGAGATACCACATTTAAACCAACCCCCATGTGAGAAAGCCTTGAGATCAGTTTACAGAGCATTTCAGCAATGCTTTGAATTAAGATTTCCATTCACTGGGAAAAGATCTTCACCAACCCCACATCATACAGAGAATTGAGCTCCAAAATATATAAAGAACTCAAGAAACTAGACATCAAAATGCCAAATAATCCAATTTAAAAATGGGGTACAGAACTAAACAGAGAACTCTCAACAGAAGAATCTCAAATGGCCGAAAGACACTTAAGTAACTGCTCAATATCCTTAGCCATCAGGGAAATGCAAACCAAAATGACTCTAAGATACCATCTTACATCTGTCAGAATGGCTAAGATCAAAACCACCAATGATACTTTATGCTGGAGAGGATGGTAGAGTAAGGGGAACACTTCCCCATTGCTGGTAGGAGTGCAAACTTGTACAAATGCTGTGGAAGTGTGGCAGATTCTCAGAGAATTGGGAATCAATTTACCTCGAGACCCAGCAATACTGCACATTCATACTACAAGGACATTTGCTCAGCTATGATAGCAGCATTATTCATAATAGCCAGAACCTGGAAACAACCTAGATGCCCCTCAACCAAAGATTGGATAAAGAAAATGTGGCATATTCACACAATGGAGTACTACTCAGTGGTAAAAAATAATGGTATCTTGAAATTTGCAAATGGATGGAATAAGAAAAAAACATCCTGAGTGAGGTAACCCAGACCCAGAAAGACAAAAACAGAATACACTCACTCATAAGTGGATATTAGACATAAAGCAAAGGATAACCAGCCTACAGTCCATGACCACAGAAAAGCTAGGTAACAAGGAAAACCTTAAGAGAAACATACATGGATCCCCTGAGAAGGGGAAATAGACAAGATCTTCTGAGAAAATTAAGAGCATAGGGGTAGGGGAGAAGGGAGGGGAAAGGGGGACGGGACTGAGAATATGAAGGGATGATGAGGGAAGATGGGGGAAGGACAGAGAGGAAAAGCAAGAAAAGAAATATCTTGGTTGAAGGAGTCATTATGGGGCTAGTAAGAAACCTGGCACTAGGGAAAAATCCCAGGAATCCACAAGGATGACTCCAGCTAAGACCCTAAGCAATAGTGGAGAAGGTCCCTGAACTGGCTGTCCCCTGTAATCAGATTGATGATTATCTTACTTGTCATCATAGAACCTTCATCCAGCAACTGATGGAAACAGATGCAGAGATCCACAGTGAAATACTAGGCAGAGTGCCCAAAGTCCAGTTGAAGAGAGGGAGGAGTAAGAATATGAGCAAAGGGGTCAAGACCATAATGGGATACCCACTGAAACAGCTTACCTGTGCTACTGGGAGCTCACTGACTCTGGCCTGATGGCGGGGGAACCTGCATAGGACGAAACTAGGCCCTCTGAATGTAGGTGACAATTGTATGGCTGGAACAGTCTGAGGGTGTCACTGGCAGTGGGACCAGGATTTATCCCTAGCGCTTGAACTGATTTTTGGAACCCATTTTCTTTGGAGGGATACCTTGCTTAGCCTAGATACAATGGGGAGGGTCTCAGTCCTGCCTCAAAGTAATGTACTAGACTTTGTTGACTCCCCATGGAAAGTTTTATCCTCTCTGAGGAGTAGATGGGAGGGTGGGGTGGCAGGAACGGAAAGAGAGTGAGAACTAGGATTGGTATATAAAATGAGGAAAGATTGCTTTAAAAAAATTAAATTAGTTAATTAAAAGAAAAGATTCCCATTTACTACTTACTTATCACAAGTGACTGAGAACTGGGTTCCAAGGCATTTTCATCGCAGAAGAAAAGCGTGTAAACAACTTCTATACCACCACAGTAAGACACCAGAGGAGGCACAAGAGTCTCCTTCAGAGACTCTCCAGGCCATTTGGTCTAACAATGAGCTATTTACTATAAAGAGTTGTTAGGGTTAGCAAGATGGCTCAGCTGGAGAAGAGCTTGCCCCAAAGCCTAAGGACCTAAGTCTGACCCAGTTCTCATAATGGAGGGAAAGGATCAACTCCCTAGGTTGTCCTCTGACTTCTACACATGTACTCTCCGTGTGTGTGTGTGTGTGTGTGTGTGTGTGTGTGTGTGTTGCTCCCCTGCACACCTCACATCCCTAGCTTCCATAACTTTAAACACTCCTAAGACAACCACCCATTACATCAGAGAAAATGAAGTTGTGAAGAATTTATAATTATGTTTTCAAAAGAAATTGTTTTAAAATCATAAAAAAGACTTACCTCAATAAAACTATTTATTTTCCTGTCTTACATTCTCTTCCTTAGCACCTTTATTATGAACCTGGAAAAAAAAAAGCAGAAATTACTTTTTCTTCATGACCTACCGTATGCCAGCAGGTGATTACAGACAAGTCAGAGCACTGAGGTCACCAAAAAGGGGACCATCCAAAAAACAAAACCCTGGTCATATAGAGAAAGCTTCTAAATCCTTCAGGGATCCACCAATGACTGGAACTCTGTATCTGGCTGGGACTAAGCATGGCACTCAGATCACCTGTACCACCAGGGTAAGTATCCTCAGTCAGCATCACACCCTTGGGCCCATTTTCTGTGTGTCTACAGGCACAAGGATCACATTAGATGACCCAGTCAGGTACTTCTTGGCAGCTCGTGAATATATGTGTTGAAAAAAATTTCATGCTTTGCTATTACAGGGTCTTATGCAAAAAAGTCTGCTCTTGCTCCATCTCTCTAGTGTTTGTTACGACTCCTATGACTGTCCTCAAGGGGCTAAGAGTAGAACAATGAGATGAGTTACCTGACTTGCAATTAAAAAGAAAGACCAGAGTTGAGCCTTCCTTTCCTTGCTTAACATCTGGTTTGCCTCTACCAGATGTTTGTTTGGGTATTAGGTATTCTTCATAGGAGGAACACGGTGTCTCTTCAGTTTCCAATCAACTAAGGTGCAAAAAACCAGCCCAACAAGCTGCTGGATGTGCCAATTTTTACTGAATGCCACACTTGTCTGGTAGCATAAGGCAACAGAACATTCTGAATGGTATTCTAGAAACCCAATGCCTAGCAGCACAGCCAGGATGTATGCAAGGGAGGATTAAGTAGCGAGAGTCCAGAAAGCAAGAAGGAAGTCTTGAATGCCAACCCAAACTTCATTCTCTATTCTCAAATGTTTGACTAGTGATTGTACTAGGAAGAGCCAGGAACTGCTGGTGGTGGGGAAGCTGAGGCAGGAAGAGTACAATCACAATGCTTGACTGAATTATGAATTACATAGTGAACTCAAGACCATCTTGAGAAACTCAGTGAGATTCCACCCCAAAATTTAACAATAAAAGGAAGGAGAAACTGGGACTCTTAGCTCAGCTTGCCTAGCAAAAAGAGAGAGATGGACTATATCACGACCACAGGAAAATGATAAAAAAAAAAGGGGGGGGGTGCTGCTGATCCTGCTCAGACCAATATCTTACTTCTAATTTTAACACTTCTGTGGCTTTTTTCTTTTATGTGAGAAGGTGGAGGTTAAGCAGACTTAAGCGTAAGCTTGCCCCTTCCCCTTAGTATATCTATTAGTGTCCTCCGTATTGTTCCTTTTATAGATGAGGCAATCCAGGCTTGGAAAAAGCTAAACCGACTTTTGAGGGTTTTTTTTTTGTTTGTTTGTTTTTGTTTTTTTTTTTTTTACTGTGATTTCACTTCTTTTATTTTCCCCTAGAAAAGTAGGACACAAAATGCAAGCTGGGTAATTGTGGTGCATGTCTTTAATCCCAGTACTTGGGAGGCAGAGGCAGTGAGCTTGAGGCCAGCCTGGTCTACAAAGCGAGCTTCAGGAGAGCAAGGACACACAAAGAAACCCTGTCTTGGAAAACATGAAAGAGACAGAGAGAGAGAGAGAGAGAGAGAGAGAGAGAGAGAGAGGGAAAAGTAGGATGCAAAGTGCAAAGATGTGCCTAACAAACACAGCAGCCGGCCCTGGGTTCCCAGACAGGCTCTGGGGCAAATGCACCAGAGCACAATGGGTATTTGCAGAGCTGCAGCAGCATCTGTGTGTTGTCCCCTTCACCCCCCCCCCCCGCCCGCCCAGAACACCAAACCAAATCTTAAATGGACCAGAGGCTCAACTGCAGAAGTAAACCCACAGACTTAACAGAAATAAGAATGAGAATGCCCTCCAGTAATTACATCCAAATTCAGGCTCCATAGAAGACCGACAGAAACCATGTAAACCTTAAAGGAAAAGATGTGGAGCTGGAGCGATGGCTCAGTGGTTAAGAGCACTGGCTGCTCTTCCAGAAGATCTGGTTTCAATTCCCAAGACCCACATGGTGGCTCACAATCATCTATAACTCCAGTCTCAGGGAATGGAAAGTCATCTTCTGGCCTCCACAGACACTGCAAGACGTGAAGCACAGATAAATATTCAGGCAAAAGACCTATAGACAAAAATCCTTTTTTAAGAGTATCTTTTTTCTTTAATGGGGCTGGAGAGTCAAGGTGGAAGGTGAAGACTGATGCCCAAGGTGTCCTCTGACCTCTACATACGTGCACAGTCCCAAAACAAGAGTAAAACATTAATTCTGGCTGTGTATGTGTCCTAGCCAGGGCTGCTATTACTGTGACGAAACACCATGACCAAAGGCAAGCTGGGGAGGAAAGGGTTTGTTTGGCTTACACTCCCACATCACTATTCATCACCAAAGGAAGTCAGGACAGGAACTCCAACAGGGCAGGAATCTGGAGACAGGAGATGATGCGGAGGCCAGGAGGGGTACTGCTAACTGGCTTAAATCCCCACAGCTTGTTCAGCCTGCTTTCTTATAGAACCCAGAACCAGCAATGGAAGAATGGCCCCATCCACCATGGGCTGGGCTCTCCTTATCAATCCCTAATCAAGATAATGCCCTACAGACTTGTCAGCAACCAGATGACTTTAATTTGTGTCAAGTTGATATAAAACTAGCTAGAACAGCATGTAATTCACAGATTATTTCACAGCCTGTGAAGTATGTTTATGTGTCACATGTAAACACTATCTCAAATTAAGACTCAAGCAAACCTGGACTTCATCATCAACCAGGAGTCTTGGAATCGACCCTCCACAGAGATTGAGGACAGTCATACCTTGCTTGGACTTACTGTGTAAGCTCAACATGCTGCAACTAAACTAAGTAACTAATGGAAAGCCAGGGCAAGACAGGCTACATAGAACACTGCACTTTATATAAAGAAATATTACAGCCCACTGACATTTGCTTATATCTACAAAGAGAAATGATAGACATATTTATAGGAAATAGATAAAGACCATATGCGGGGATGTGGGAAGAGAATTGGGAATTGGCTTTCTGGACGTGTCCGCGTTATTTAAGTGTTTGAGCCATATTAAGATTTTGTCCATATAAACAGAATTCTTAAATGTTGAAAAAATACTCACACAGAGAATTGCCTATAAGTCAGAGTTCAAATTTAATGATTAGGAGGGAATATTTCTCTTAAATTCGATACTGAAAAACAAGCAAAGCATGTGATAATGCTAGGTGCAGGCTCTAGAGTAGCAGCCGTGGCTATGACTTGGCCACCTGCCCAAACTCCAGTGGTGGCCAGCAGTCCTGGAGATACATGCTCCATTCTGTTGCTGCTCCGTTTTCATGTGTGTGTGATGTGCACTGTATACACCCACAGGACTCCATCTGTACATATTGAATGTGGCTACATGTGTTTAAGTTTGTGCAAATGCATATGGAGGCCTGAGGTAGATGTCAGGAATCATCCTCGGTTGCTCTTTTACCTTTTTCATAGAAGCAGGTTCTGTCAATCAGAGTTCACTGATATGGTTAGTCTCACTAGTCAGCTAGCTCTGGGTGTGACATCTCTGAAATCACAGGTGAGTCGCCACACCCACACAGCTTTTACCTGGGTCTCCTCCAGTGCTCAGGCTTGGACTGTAAGCACTTTAACTATGGATCCTTCTCCATAGCCCCTCATCTGATGCTCCTCACAGGCTGCGCTAGGGCCTTATGATGAGCTGCTGTGAGGGACCAACAAACCTGAGAAGGGTGGAGGTGCTCAAGGGTGTGGTGCATTTGGGGTTCCTGGGAGCTGCCCTCGGTGTCGAATGGCTAAGACACCAGGGAACAGCTCTCCACATACACTGCCTGCTTCCCACAGAAGTATTTTCAAACACATTTCTTCCTAAGCAGCACCAATTGTCAATCAGTGAAATTAATCTAAGGATGACCCATTCGAGAAAAAGTTATCCATGGAACGACAAGCTTTACAGAATGGAAGAGCAAATAAAGCAGCAGACCAAAATAACTCACATTGACCTCATGCTTGCAGAGGCCACCACCCCAAGATGCTTTCCTCTAAACACTTTTTAAAAACGGTTCTAGAAGTGACCGTGACTTTAAATCTTCAGAGTACAGAACTCAGGCTAAGATGGAGGATCTGGACAGGGTGCAGTTTCGTTCTGCAAGTCATCCCTCGGATTCAGTTTTTGTTGTTAGAAATAAACCAATGCACGAACACGTTTGTATAGTTCCTATTTCTCTGAGATGCATCATCGTCAAGGCAAGCTCTTAATTCATAATTCATACTTAATTCATTTAAGAACAGGTAGACTGTGCTGGCTAGACTTATGTCAACTTGACACAAGCTGAAGTAATACGAGAAGAGGGAACCTCACTGAGTTTGGCTTGTGGGCAAGCCTGTACTGCATTTTCTTAACTGAAGGCTGCTGGGGGAGGGCCCAGCCCACTGTAGGCAGGGTCACCCCTGGGCAGTTGGTCCTGGGTGTTTTAAGAAGCAGGCCGAGCAAGCCAGTAAGCAGCGCTCCTCCATGGTCTCTGCATCAGCTCTTCTTCCAGGTTCCGGCCCTGAGTACCTACATGGGCTTTCTTCAAAGATGAAACTGTGATGTTGTAAACAAAACAAACCCTTTCCTTCCCAAGCTGCTTTTGGCCATAGTGTTTACCACACCGATAGAAACCCTAACTAAAACTGAAGTGTTTTTTTTAAAAAGTAGTGATCAATAAAAACAAAACAGCCAAAAGTATTGGCCTTTTTTTACCCTGGAACTGGATAGTGTTTACTTAAAGTAATAAAAATTAATTACTTTCGATTTAGGTGACTTTTCAACTCACAAGAGTTCACATTATGTATGACTAGACAATTTTAAATGTATCCTATTTTCAAAAGTCTTTACTTAGATGTTGATTTCCTGTGCCTTTCTAAGTAACAAGCAACCAGAATATTCTATTGCAAGAAGCAACTTATATTTAAAGAAAAAAGGCGAAAATAAACTTCTTTCTCAGACTTAAGCAAGTTGAAGAAATTTACTATGCTATAGCTACGAAACGGACTGAGCTGAACTTTCAGCAAGAGCTCCCCAGTCAAGACAGTATTTTGTGAGCCATCCCCAGAATTGATTGGATGGGCAATATTAGTTTTCACATTTGAGCACATTCCGTATTTTCCAAATTCACTAAAAGGAATACCAAAAGTAGAAAAGGTCACTTAAGTAGGGGTTGCACTGACTGGTACTCAATGCCCCTCAGTTATCTATGAGGCTGCTGAGACTTCCAACCCCCTTCTCACCTCAAGATGCTCAGCAGTTCGAGTGTGACCAACATTCCCAACAAGGAGTCCCTCCAAAGGGAAACAGCTACAGGTGAGCAGGCATTAACCCCACCTTCCGAGACTTAAAGATAGCCAATGAAAGTGTCACTAACCAAAGAAACTCTTTATGTATCAGAAAAAGCGCAGAGAATTTTGTTTTTAATTCCCAATGAAAAGTGTGTCTTGAATTGTTATAATTAGCTAGTAGTGGTTCTCAAGGGGGCACAACTGTCCCCAAAGCACACTGTTAATTACTGAAGAGACTGGCAGCAGAAAGCAACCGCATTTGGGATCCAGGATCTAGACCCATATAATACAACACGTGGGTGGTAGAGGTGATGATCCAGGCTACCTGGTCCATGAGTTCACTATAGATTAACACTACTTTAGAATTCAATACTGAGCCATTTGGTAAGGTGTGTTCCTGCCCCGACTATGGACAACCAAGAAAAGGAAACCGTGTGAACTTCCACAGGGCACATTTCACTTGCACCCCAGCACTAGGCACACGTGGAGCCGCTACCGGCAAACCCAACCATTTCAATCTTCTATTTCTTTATTACCAACGATAAGCAGGAAGGACTTGGTGTTAACCCTTAGATGGCGATACTGCAGAGTTTGTGATGGTGACCCACAATATGGGTTACACACAAGGTGGGCTACAATGTAGATGGAATACTGCATCCCTGGAGGGCTTTATTAACTGAGTGTTGACGGAGACAGGCTGTGATTTATCTTGTATGCTGTCATTCAGCCTACACTGTTTTCCTCATTAGCATTAATTATCCCCAATAAGATGGTTTTCTCGGGTCCCAATCTTGGTTCCTGACTTTGAAAGACACAAATACTTATACACATACATACAGAAACACACATACATACGTGTGTCTGTCTGTCTCCAAGTACACTCACTTGCAAACACACTCACTTGCCGCAGGGTCTGTCGAATGGTGTCCAACAGGGCATCTGGGCTACACAAACGCCCCGCACCTCTTCCCCTTTATTTCTTCCTTACACCTAAAGGAGAGCACTCCACGACCTTGGGCCATGTTTATGAAGGCATATTACTTATGAACTTCAGTGTCAGGGTGGCAAGGTGGGCTTTACAAACATTTGCCACAGAAGTAAGAGGCCTTGATCACGAGCTTCGCAATCACTCATCCGAAGAGTGTGATCTTGGGCTTCAGACAAGATTCAAACTTTTCAGAGTTTCCTTTGCCTGAGGCAAGCCTTGAGCTAACCTCCTGGCCTTAGACCCCCACACCCAGCTCGCCTCTCATCACTCACAAGACTAAAAGATGGTTCTTGAACATTCAGGGTTAGGGAACCTTCTGGGATAGGACAAACTTTCTCCCTAGAAACGTGGGACGTTGCTTGCAATTTCAGGAGGGCTTCCAGACACACCCTCTGCAGCCCCGCGGGGGCCCCAGGAGAAGAGCCGCGAGCCGGAGTGGGGAGGAGGCTGGTAGGTGAGTCCGGGGCGTGGGCCGTCCCATCCCACCACGACCCCGCAGTGTGACTTCGGCCAGGGCGCTGCAGCTCCCGGCAGTTCCAGCGTGGGAGCGCCCAAGTAAAGCGCCTGGTACCGACCAAGCCAAGGCTGCCCGCGGTGATCGAGTCGCGGACTCACAGAGGGACCCCCGGAGAAGGACGCCTGGCTCCGGTGGCCCGGAGACCGCGG